TAAAATAGAAAATCTTATAAATGAGCGTATCGCGAGTAGCATATCTTTTATTTCAAGAGACTATTCGAGTTATTATAGTGAAATTTTCTATAGAGGAATTTATTCTTGATTATAGCACATGTGTCCACTTCTTTATAAATAAATACGCGTGATAGCTGAGGAATATGCTTTATGTAAAATTTTTTGCTTAGAGGAAATGCTTAAAGGAATTTCCCGCTCATAAGTAGAACATTTTTTTTTGGGTGTTTATATATGTACCTATATAAAGAGAGAGCTTTTGCGTGATTGTAATACGAATTTTATACCTCGTGCAGACCGGGCATAGTATCGGCCCCGTACTCGGACATAAGTACTGGCTTGTTATATTTTCTATGCCAAGCCTCGGCTTCGCCTTGAACCCTGTCAGTGATCATGTCCATTCTGCCGGCATTGCTGTACCAGGCGTTGTAACGATTGAAGCTGATCACATCGAGAAACTGACCAGCTTTGTCCTCCTAAAATTTACAATATCTAGTTATCGGTAATCTTCATGTTACAAGCGATTATGATAAAAGTTAAAAATCTTGGATTGAAGTATAACTCTTAGAATAAGGTATAATTAGATAAATCAAAGTTGCATTAATATAACTTTCGCTTTATTAAAATATAATTTCAATTAAGTTTGAGATTTTGAGATAGCTACAAAAAGTATTCGATTTCATAAATTAAGAGATTATTTTTTGTTTATTTTGTTCAGAAAATGATATAAGGGAGGACTTTATGTCTTTCTATGAAATATTATTAAATCAGAATAATCACATACAGTCACGAAACTAATTATCTGGGCAATGCGTTATTATATTGATAATTTCTTCAAATTGTTTTTTGTTCAGGTGTTATTTATATTTAGATGTTATATTTATATATATGTATTTAAACAAGTAATTGTGAAATTACTAGTGCTATAATTGTGTGTGGAATCACAACTTTTGACACTTGAAATTTTTTTTTGTTATCCGAACAATTAGTTTCGTGATCGTGCATTGTATGTATGTATGTATGTACATGTGTATGTACATGTACGCACAATTTATATTTATATCTATGTTACATATAATATTTATATCTACATATAAATTGTGTATATACACATGCACATGACATACAGTTGCACAATCACGAAATTAATTGTCTGGACGACAAAAATTTCGAGTTTTGAAAGCTGTGATTCCACGCACGTATTATAGCACTGATAATTTCACAATTATTTGTCTACATATATAGGTATAAATACCATGTCTAATATAAATAACACACAACAGTTTGAAGAAATCATCGATATATTAACGCATTCACCCAAAAAAAAATATTCTAGTTATAAAGTGAAATTTCCTCTAATCCCATATTTTAAGCGAAAACTTTTACAGAAAGAGTATTCCTGTTCCAATAAAGTGAACTGTTCATCTAAAATCTATTAGATATTATTTTTCGGCTTTCCTCTTGTATTAAGAGGAATATGTTTTTTTCAAGCGGAATGCCCTCTTACATGCGATATGAGTAACACGAAAAGCAATGTGTATCGCTGCGTTCTGCCGCGTGACGATTGATTGAAGTGTTGCGCTGCATTTGCAAAAACAGACGCAGTAAGACTGCGTTCCGTTATTCATTGTACATACTGAAAAACTACAGTACAAATAATGTGCATTATAAATATAGATTTACAGTACAAGATTTGTACTGTAAATGCAAGACAAAATTAATCTAACTATTAGAATATTGTGCACAGAATATTTTCCTCTTAATTTTAAAGGATTCCTCTTGAGGCCATATACAAGAAGAAAATCCTCTAAGATTTAGCGGATTCCACTAATATTAAAATTATTTTTTTTTGCGTGTTGTCCGGATAATTAGTTTCGTACGTATATTTTATATGTGTATAACGTTACCTGCACTCCACGAGCCAAAGCAATGGTGACCGGTCTGGTAGGATCGATCGCTTTGGTGTGATGGGCGATCTGCTTGAAGTACTCCTCCGCCTGGGGCAACTGGGTCCTTGGTTCGTTGGCCAGGGACCACATGATTACGGAGGGTCGATTCTTGTCCCTGCGGATGAGCTCCGACAGCGAGTCCTTGTGACGTGAGAGCAACGACGGCGAATAATTCTCCGTATCGACGGAAGGGCATTCGTCGATCACGAGGAAACCCAGTCTTCAAAATGAAATTTAACAGCTAATGAAAAATAGAGCAGAATACAAAGCACGCGCGAGGAAAATGGAAGATAAAATGTTTTGGCATATCAGATAATTTTAGGAGAATTCTCGACATACCTGTCAGCCATGTCGAGAACCTCGTCGCTGTAAGGATAATGACTGGTCCTGTAGGCATTAGCGCCGACCCACTGAAGCAACTCGTGGTCTCTGACAGCGGTGACGAGGTCGAAACCACGTCCTCGTATAACCGAGTCCTCGTGCCTGCCGAAACCACGCATGTACACCGGTCGATCGTTCAACAAGAGACTCGTGTTGGTCCACGCGAGTGTCCTGATGCCGATCGGCAATCGATAGATGTCCGGTTTGGTGACGTTTGCCACTGACAGTCTTACCTAAAGGGCGTAACGCGTCGTTTCGACGAACAAAACTTAAATTCTCTGAACAATTTGTACAAATTAATATTTTGTGCGCGTATATCATTTTTTTATAGTGTTCTATATTCCTTTCTAATTTTCTATATCTTTTATGGTTCGCAATCTTGTTTGTTGAGATATCAAGGTGGTTTTGAGCAATTAACGATTTGAATATCAAGTCGTACCTCTAAAGTATATAGGTATCCCGGCTTGGGGTCCATGCCTCTGGGCCACCAGAGTCTGGCGAGCGGGACCTTCAGGGTGCCGGACAGGCCGTAAACGGGCTCCTTGATAGCCAAGGTGTGCTCGGCGTTGTGCAACGTGACCCTGCAGACAGGTATCTCCCCTTCGCGCAAACCAGCCGGTTGTATGATATACTTGACAATTCCCATATCGCCGATCAGGCTCGTTCTCACTGTAATATCTTCAACGTAGATGCGTGGCGTGGTGTACAGCAAAACAGACCTTCGCAAAGTGTTTTGAGGAAAATTTATTAATCAGGAGCAATTGTATTGTAATCATAATTAATGTCGTGCGTTCTGATTTAAGGAGGGCACCTCGTGTAACACGCTGAAAATTAGGTGATTTTTTGGAATTTTTTTTTAGGAAACTATACAACCAAACCTTTTGATCTTTATAAGATAATTTCTTATACTATTGAACTAACAAAAAAATATTTGTTTTGCCTGAAAAAAGTATTTATTATGCAAGTAATAATAACATTTATTCGGCGGTGATGGTGTTTGGCGGCGTGCAAGATAACTCAAAAACTATTCATCCGATTGACTTGGGCCTTTGCACACATCTGCATAAATACTTCCCTAATAACATGAATCATTGTTTATAATAGTAATATTTAATTAAATAATTTTTATTGCATAATAACCAAAAAATAAACATAAACACAAAAAACTTTCGTTAAAATCGCTATCTTTTTTTCCATGTGTTATGATTTTCACAATTTTGCATTATTTTCTTTAAAAATAGGTTCAGTTAATGCGTAAATTCTTAAACAATAATCTTTTCAGATTTTTTATTTCAGACAAATACAAGCGACGCTACAGTGCACGCCGCCAAACACCATCACCGCTGACGCGCCGAATAAATGTTATTATTACTTGCATAATAAATACTTTTTTCTGGCAAAAAAAAATTTATTTGTTAGTTTAATAATAAGAAATTATCCTATACAGTTCAAAAAGATTGGTTGTACAGTTTCTTAATAAAAAATTCCAAAAAAAATCTTCCTAATTTTCAGAGTGTTACACGAGGTGGCCTCCTTAATAAGCATAAAATCTCAAATATAAAAAACCAGTATTGTTATGCAGAATAAAATAAATTATTAAAAATATTGTCTAAATCTAATTCATCTAAAAATTATAATAAATAAAATAATCTGTTAGAGATGTTAATTACAAGTGTTATAATGGTTCTATGAATAAACTCTATACTGTACTGTATTTTTGTATCTATAGCTATAATCTGTTCGAATTACTAGAATGCCGTATTGTTTCGAATTATCATATATCATTAAAATAATCGAACTGTCCATTTTTATTTTTCTACGCTATAGAAATATTTTCGTGGAGTAGCAAAAATCTCGTTGATCATGTCTCTAGTGACCTCGATTGTCGCATTGAATGTTCTCTTTTGTTTTTTCCACAAAGCCCTTGATAGAGATCTATTTGTGGCGAGTGAAATTCGCGCGTCGCTTCAGAGAGCTCCAAAGAACCTTCGCAATAATGTAACAGCGAAACGAGACAACGTGATTACACCTGTCACGTATTTTCTCTTTGTTCGATTGTATTGAACTTGTATTTTTACATTGATTTTGCTTTCGAAAATTGGAGATCCGATTTGGAATTGAAATGAGGTTTTTTTGATGTTTTTTTTAATCAACAATATTTACTTTTGAGACCAATTTAAAAAAAAGAATAAGTAAATTAAAAAGAATTAAGATTATTATTTATTTGTACAAATTTAATGCTAATGTAATTAATATAATTTTAATTCATTTTAATTATTAATTTTATATGCAATTAAAATATTAATAAAACAAGAGAGAATTAATGTTATAATTTAAAAAATATTTCTCCTATATAGTTTTATTCACATTTACATTTGCATTAAGTATTGTCAAAATTATGTTTAAATAAAAAACGTTAAAGATAAAAAAAATGAAAATGAGAAAAAAGAGAGTAATGAGCCAGGCACGATGTTGATGCAAAAAAGCAAATATAATATATTAATAATTATTAGTTAAACATTGAATACAATAATAATAACGACCCAAATAGTTTATATTAAGCCATTCTCAGTGGGTTCAGAATTCTTTTCAATAAAAATTATAAATACAAAGGTAATGCGTCAAAGCTTAAAGGATGGGCGCTCGCTATAAATCACAGACTTACAATAAAAAAAATGTATAAGAAATGTTTTTTGTTGATCAAGATTTTCGTCGAGGTCGCACACAATCAATAATAAAAAATGTTGTCCAGTCAGCTCCAGACAATTTTAAAATGTACATGTGTAAATGATACTATCCATGTGTTCGTGGAAATGAAGTGGACGGTGTCAAAGGAATCATAAATAAATCCCATTAGGTACCGAGACTGGAAGAGAGACTATAACTGACTGAGATTAATTATTAAAAGGAAAAAAAATGTGTCAAAATTTGAAATACCTTGTGAACGTCAACATATAGAAAGGAAGAACTTGTCAGTTAACAATGATAGAGATGAAAAGGAACAAGAAGTATTCAAGGAAGAAAGAAAAGATTTTAAGGAAGAAGAAGAGAGGAAGCGCACCCAAAAAAAATAATTTTAATATTAGTGGAATTCGCTAAATCTTAGAGGATTTTATTCTTGTATATGGCTAAAAAAGAATTCTTTGAAATTAAGAGGAAAATATAATTCTGTGCACAATATTTTAATAGAATAATTTCGTTGCATTTACAGTACAAATCTTGTACTGTAAATTTATATTTATAATTCACATTATTTGTACCGTAGTTTTTCAGTATGTACAATGAATAACGAAACGCAGTCTTACTGCGTCTGTTTTTGCAAATGCAGCGCAACCCTTCAATTAATCGTCACGGCAGAACGCAGCGATACACATTGCTTTTCGTGTTACTCATGTCGCACATAAGAGGGCATTCCGCTTGAAAAAAACATTTCTCTTATTACAAGAGGAAAACCGAAAAATAATATCTAATAGATTTTAGATGAACAGTTCACTTTATTGGAAGAGGAATACTCTTTTTGTAAAAATTTTCGCTTAAAATATGGGATTAGACGAAATTTCACTTTATAACTAGAATATTTTTTTTGGGTGCGAGAAAGGGGCAGCGTTAAATAGTGAATTGAGGAATTGGGAGATACGCGTCTGACAGAAATTTTGCGTCGCTTTGCTTATTCGGGTTATTTTTTGTTTTATGAACCATCTCTGAAGTTAACCTTTTGTTGTATTGCTTTTTATTATTTAAAATCCGAACATCATCTCAATTATAAAATTGTGCTTTTTAGTTTTAGTTTTAGATTTCAAACAAGAGCTTCGCTGTGACCGAAAGTAACGGCGCGCAGTTCGAGGAACTAGAATATGTATGTAAAATTCACACAGAAATATTAGTGACCACCAAGATCTTGCTTTGACCGTTTCTCGGCTTTCAATTTATTATATATTAAAATTGTGTTTTTTATAGTCATATACGGTGGATGTAAATGTCTGTAGAAGAGCCGTTTATCTTTTGAAAAAAATGAATCTTCGATCGTTTAATCTACTTTGTCCCAATTAATTAAATTTTTACCTGTGTATACCGGCATAGTTGAAGAAATCGAAAGTATAGGTCTGCAAGTGCGTGGTGCCGTTGTCGGTGATCATCTCGACGATCTTGCCCTGGGGCACGCTAGTCTGCAGCAGAGTGTTATCCACGGCCACGGTAATGCGGTTCTTACCGCCGAAGGTCACGTACGACGAGATCTCCGCTTCGAAAGGCAGGTGGCCCATTTCATGATTGGTCACCAAAGCGTTGTTCACCCACTACGCGAAAATGTTCGTGAGCTTGCGATTCACTTGAACTTTATGCATGTATTTTTTGAATGTTAAGATTAACCATTGCTCTCGATGCATGTCGTACGTCTCTTTAAATACAAATCGCGATCGATATCCTTTATTTAGAAAAGTTCCCGAGTAACAAGATGACGTCAAATGACGTTTCAATGTTTTATTGACGTTAGAGACGTTATTAAGGCTGAATTTACAATGTGCTCTTTGCATCAATTGTTTCTTGCTTTTTACCACTTGCTTTTTATCATCCTTGCCTTTTTTGCCTCTTATATCCTTCATTTTTGTCCGGGATGAATATTGACAAACTTTGGAAGGAACAGGAAATACATGACAAGAAATACGATTGTCGATAAAACGATCGTAAAGAGGAAAAAAGGCAAGAGGTAAAAAGCAAAAAAAAAAACAGGAAGCAAAGAGCACATTGTAGATCCAGCCTAAGACGTCTTTTGACGTTATTAAGACGTCACCTAGCTTGCATACTTATTTAGTATGTATGAGTGCAGTTTTATCGATTTGTCCATCTTTGGTCTTCACTTTATGTTTCTTTTAGATATTCTCGAATTACAATGAATTTTCGATAAGTCGCACTGCAAGAAAATGTCAAAAGATCTCTTTGGGAGTGAAAAAGCTTGAGTTGCGGAATACTTACCACTTGTGCGAGATAGTGGACCGAGCTGAATCTGACGAAGACACGTTGATCCCGCCAAGAGAAGGGCACGAAGAAAGTCCTCTGGTACCACACGGCACCAACGTGGTCCCTGAGGTTCCGCGATGTCGTAATGTCATTGTAGGACGAGGGTACCGGCATCTTCATCATTTCTCCGACCTGTAAAGCCAGTCATACCTTGCGCGAACAGATCCTCACTAATAACGGAGCAATTACAATTATAACAAACGGACAACGTGCAATTATGCGAGATTATAAAACTCACGTATCCTCTCCGCAACACAAAAGTTGAACGTGAATTAGCAAGAAAAAGTAATAAAAGCGAATAAATAGAAGAAAATGAACAATAATAATAAATACATAAAAAAAGGATCAAAATATTGAATTTTTCTAGTCTTCTTCGAAATTTTGTAAAAGTTTTTCAGAAAAATTCTGAAAAAATAATTTACAAGAAAAAAACACAAAGGGAATATAATGTAGGTATTGAAAAAAAGACTCGGAATATTGAATTTTTCTAGTCTTCTTTGAAATTCTGTAAAAGTTCTCCAGAAAAATTCTGAAAAAATGTTACAAGCAGGAATTAAATTATTTGGATGTATTTAATGTTTAGCATTATATAATTTACAAGAGAAAAGCAAAGGAAATATAATGTCCATACTGAATACGTAAAATTTTAACGTGGATAATTTAGAGTTTTTGCGTGAAATTAACTAATTGTTTGAATATCTCCCTGCCTAACCTGTTATGTAAATTAAAAAATATTTTGTTTACTTTTTTCTCTTTTCTTTATTATGTATATTAATGTTTCATCTATTAAATTAAAAATCATATCTTTCGTTATAAGCCTTTTTCGCAAAATTGAGACTAATTTGATGTAATGAAAAATTTTAATATTTATAGTTTATTAATTCTCACATTTGTCATTATCAATTATTATTTCATACTCAATCCGGATACGATATATACCTTCGACAAATCATCGGCAAACCATCTTTCCGTGTAACCTCTTAGCGCATCTCCTTCGGGCGACACGACGAAGTCCCATAATCCATCAAGTGATCTTATCTACAAAAGGACATTAAAAATATCTTTGTTGAATTCATTTACATTATAAAAATCCTCATAATATAGAAATACATTTTTAAGATAATATAAAATTGCATTATCGCACAATTATTTTTGACTTATTGCAAATAACGTATATTCATATATTTTACATTGTACAATACATTTTTTAATGGAATAAAAAGTAACAAGTGTTTAGAATTATCTTCAATAAGCAAAATATAAATGGTAAATAAAATTTGTCGCAGATTTCTTTTCTGAAAACTTTCTTGAATTTGCGATAGAGGTGTGAAAACGTGAGCCGATTATCTCTCGATTCGAATGGTAATAAAAAGACCAGCGTGTTGTCATCGTCACGTAAGTTTTACCTCTCGGGATTCACTTTCTCTGGGATATAGCAGACCAGGAAGCGGAGTCGGGAATGCCTCCTCGTAAGGCAGCGGAGCTACCTCGATTTTGATCGTCGGGTCGAAGAACTCCGGCGGCGACTCCGGCCCGGACTCGCCGGCCATCGCGCTGCCGATTAACAAGAAGATCAAGTGCCACATCCCTCTGCGGCCTTCCTAAACAAACAAATTAGCCTCCATGCACAATTCGTAATCGAGTTCTTGAGATTTCCGCTCAAAACGGAACAAATCTGTCGAGGTAGAAATCCACAAGAATAAATTCGCAAAAAATTAAGAAAAGTCCTTACTTAAAAGATGTAATTTTATTCCGAAAGAATTAATGCATAGCTGAGAAAAGCTTTGTAAAATATAAAAGCTTTTCGAAGTTATAAAAGTTCAATTTTAATTAATAATCATTAAAAATGAGTTAATATTAATTAAGTGCCACATTCCTCCGCGGCTTTCCTAAACAAAAAAATTGGCATCCATGCACAATTCGTAATCGAGTTCTTGAAATTCTCGTTCAAAACCGAACAAATCTTTCGAAGTAGAAACTAGAAATCCATAAAAATAAATTCGCAAAAAATTAAAAAAAGTCCTTACTTGAGAGATGTAATCTTATTTCGAAAGAGTCAACGCATGTTTAAAACTGAGAAAAGCTCCGTAAAATATAAAAGCTTATTTAAAGTTATGAAAGTTCAATTTTAATTAATAATAATTAAAAATGCGTTAATATTAATAAAGTACCATATCTCTCTGCAGCCTTCCTAAACAAAAAAATTAGCATCCATGCACAATTCGTAATCGAGTTCTTAAGATTCCCGCTCAAAATCGAACAAATCTTTCGAAGTAGAAATCCACAAAAATAAATTCTCGAAAAATTAAAAAAAGTCCTTAATTAAGAGATGTAATCTTATTTCGGAGGAATATTTCACACCAACGTGTGTTTAAAGCTGAGAAAAGCTTCGTAAAATATAAATGTCTTTTGAAGCTATGAAAGATCAATTTTAATTAATAACATATACAGTCAAATCTCGATAACTCTACAAGTCTAACCTCTACAAGTCGAAAACCTTTATAAGACGAAAATTTTGTTCCTTTCTGTTCCACTGCGAAACCTCTATAAATTAAAATAAAACCTACCTTAACTCGAATTATTTGTCAGATATTTAGATGTATTATATTTTATTTTGCAATTCGAATTTAAAGTAGCCAGACCTCTAAGTTAAAGTTCACTTCTATAAATTGAACTTCTATTGCCACTGCCTCTATAATTCGAAGTTGTAGCTATGTGTAACCATAAGTTATAGCCCGATATTTTGTTTTATGATTACATTTATTATATTGAAAAAATAATTCACTGTCAAATATTGATTTTTTCTTCTTCTAAAAGCTATTATAATCGGAAAATTATAAACTCTTGTACAAAGCCCCCATAAGTCGCATTTTTATATATGTTACTCGTACCCTCTTTTACTCGAATTTTGATAAGTCGAAAATTCTGTTATTCGAAGGCTTTTTCTTTTTCCCTTGAGATTCGAGTTATCGAGGTTCGACTGTAATTAAATATGCGTTAATATTCGCGAGGATTGTTTGTTTGTTCTCAATATTTGTTCTCATCGCATCCGCGTCATTTTCTTCGAACGAATAGTCGCAACCGTCTGTACAAAGCCGGCCTATGACATAAAAGTTCAGAAGACTACGTATATTTCCGTGACTTTATTTAATATGACGAATAATCTGTGCTTATCATTTAACCTTACGCTGTGTCACACGCTAGAGCTGTCAATTATCGCTCGTTGCCTATTTCTCTACGACGGAAGGCTGTGACCCCCTTTCTTCCCGACGAGCAGTCATAACTTGGCTGTGTAAATATCACGCGATTCCCTCTCCGAAAATACCTCTCAGAAAATTGCTATTGAACGTCAGGGCATTCACGACATCCGGTACGGTATGTTACATATAGATTTTAGGCACCACTACAACGGCACAGCTATAAATTGCACTTACGTTTTACGGTGCGCCCGAATCGACCAGTCGCGGCTGCTTGACCACAGTCGACTGATATCGCGCGAATTTCCTCGATAAGAAATTAGCAAATTCGACCATCTGATTAGCAATACGTAACTTTTTACATCCTCGCGCATCGCGTTTGCGATAATATTTATCTCTCCGACGATACAAACGCGATCTTCAAAGCGGAAAATCCACTACATCGCGTATAAACATGATAATGATTTGTTTGAATGTTATCGCCGTGAATCGCGCGTATAGGATAAGACGAGGAGGCTCGATCTATGATTATGTGATTATTCGAGAAATTAATACAAAATTGCTTGTAACGTAACGTCTGTTCTCAGACGTGGACTTCTGCAAATTAAAATTGAAAATTGCAAATTTGATTTACGATCAGTATATACTTATACAGATGAATTGTTATTAGTTCCTGAAATAAATTATTTATTATGTCCTGGAATAAATTATAGATGTCACTTACGATGCGATGTGTGATGCTGAAATTACACATTACGTATTGCGTATCGACTTTATTTCTCCATTATATTTTTATTCCTTTCAAGACTGATAAAGCACGTTTAAAGACAATGTAACGCATAATTTGTCTAACAGTTATTCCCTTCCCTCAGGTCTGCCTCGTTGTATAAAGGTTGCATGCCAGTCATCCCCGCTTGTCTTTTTTCTCGTTTAATTTTATTCGACACCCACAAAGAGAGGAAGACCGGTCTTTCTGGCATCCGTCCTTTTGTACGAAGAGATTCTAAGGAAGGCTCTTCGAAACGCGACAATAACTGCACGACCAAAAGAATTGCACTGTGCTGTCTGCTGCTTTAATTTCTTTCGACAAATAAGCTTTTATAACTTATTAAGAAATTAATTGCGCACCGCAAAAATACTAATTAAATTAAATTGAAAAATTATTTTTGATTATATTAAATTATATATATATATATATATACATATAAAATTAAAAAATTTAAATATTGCAGTTCCTATTAAAACTATTATATGTTTTCTATTATAATAAATTTTATATCTATAAATGTATTTCACATACAAATAATTTATTTTAATTAAACTATTTATATAGAATCATAAGTTCAGAAATACTAAAATAGGATTTATTAAATATGCAATATCCGAGATATATAAACGTAATAATAAAATATTTTATCATTAATAATAAAAATTTTAACAAAAAAGACTAAAAAAATTCCAGTTTAGACGGAGCTTTTTAAAGATTTTCGGCGATCAGTTTCACATGACCTTTCGACGAAAGCTAACTGCCGGGCAATGAGCCGGTCGCACCCCGCACACATACATGCACACGAACACACTCCGCGGGGTCTCGTTCGCAGCAATATCGGCTTCCTGGCACGGTGCCCTCCTACGAGAGCAGACTTCCCTTCCCAAAGCATCAAATCGTTTCCTCGTGTCGCGCGTATACAGAGATACCACGGCACTGGTGTCCCTAATTCCTCGAATAGCCACTATTGTCCAGGTCTGAACTTAACACCCGGTAATAATATCTGGCCACCGAGAATTGCAATTCCGTCAGCTGGTCGTTTCGTAAATCTGTATCTCTACGCGAGAAATTTCTCCTTTACGAAATTTATTTTTAAGATTTCAATTTACGGATTTTTCAGATCACGGATTTTCAAGATTTCATTTCATAATCGTACATATGTGTATAAATTAAAGAACGTTACAAGAGCGTCAAAATTCTCAGTTTGAAGAAAGGAAATTAAAATTAACAATTATACTGATTAACGTTGACGTACCTAATAAGGTAATAAGGTATAGTCAGAAAATGTTAGTTGTAATAATTTCTAAGAATACAAAATGTCACAGAAATATGGATGTCACATTTAACCTCAGCACTAAAATGATTCTGATTGCATGCAGTTCGAATATAAAACTGCTGCTGATTGTTACAATTGTCTATTGCTACGTTGGCTATCGATAAAGTTTCTAAATGCGGCCTCGTTTGTTCGCGATTTCTCTCTATTTGCGCGTCGCATAGATAATTCGCAGACCCAATTTCGCGTTTGAAGATAATTGATCCGGCGAAATGAGCCGCGAGGCCTCCGAAATAATAAACGATCCTCCCGCGGGCGATTCTCCCGTATATACGCATTTTCGTAACACGGCGTGGTTTGAATTTATTAACACCGATATATATTCATATTGAGTGTAGCGAGGTGTAAGAGACGCGATTACGCGAGACGATAATGGCGCGGAGTAATGATATAACGATGCTAATATTCTATCGCTACAGACTAGACCGGATTACATCTCGTGCGGTTGTCTTCGAATTTTCGAAATATTCGTGTAAAATTAAAATTGCGAAACTAATGCGAACGGAATATATAATAGTCGAGTCATGTAAGATATTTTAGCCTCGTTCTATTATATCTCATGGAATCGTGGAGAATATTGTAAGATGATTAGATATACCAGCCTTCCAATCGACGCACCGACGCACCGATCGATTTTCCGTGTTTGAGGCACGCAGGAAATTGCACCGGACGGCAAATCTCGAAAATGAAGTATCGTCCGGTAGTCGGAATCACATGGATTTTTGGTCGAAATTTCGAAACGGATTGTCGACAAACCGTTGCGAATTTATCGTTTCCTGGCGTTTCAGGAAGATGAATTTTTAAATTGCAAAAGCGTGACGTCGACAAATACAGAGAGGAGAACTCGCGAGCTCCGCGGATTAATTTAAATTCATACAATCATGTATTGTTATCTTTAAAGAGATGTGTTGACACCTAAATTGCTACATAAAATTAATCAAAATTATCTTCAAGTATGTTTTTGTTGTCATATTTTGAAACACATACCGCTTGATAACGAAGAGATGCAAGGTCGATACAATCGTGATGGAAAAATCCGTTGATATTTATCGACGTTTCGTTAATCAAGCTTATAGCACGAGCATTATATTTTGTTAATTATTGCAAATCGCGCGTTATATCAGAGATAAGTGCAACTGCCGCAAAGATAAATCTTCCTAACGAGATATTAATAAGAAACGCAATGTGTAATGTAATTATTGGACGTCGCGCATAAATTCAACGGTTTCATTTTTCCATCATTAGACTTTTTATTGTCAATCTTTTTATTTATTTTGCAATCTGTAAATCTGTAAATCGTTGTCGTGGAGTAACAAACCTTGCAGCGATCGCCGCGTTCTATCGCGAGTCTGGTCACAGCGTCCGAGGAGAAATTGCCGAAAAGTAAAGTGAGCCCTGCCATCTCTCTCGGTCTGTCCAAGAAATTTCAATTATATATATTTCAAACGTGAAAAGAAATTCTTCTTTCGCGACGCTTCTTATTTTCGTTTCTTCGTTTCTTCTTAAACCACAACTTTTCTCGCGCTTCCTTCTTCTTATGTAATTTCAGTTGACTCGTATTCTTGCTTATCTCCTTCTTATTTATTTTCGCACTAACGTGACGTTTTGTATCCGCTCGATTCTGCAGTACTCAGTTTTGCATGTCAAACAAAAAAATTTTTCTCGCACCAAAGCCAATCAAGTCCGATCAAAATTTTTTTTCTCTACATTTATTATAATTAACCATATCGCTTTCACGACATCGCGACACACCTAATAAAGTTCGAACTATGTAATATTAATTCAGTTAATATAACTGAAGTTATATATATATATATATATATATATATGTATATATATGTATATTAAACGGACGGAGAGAGTCGCGCTAACTCGAAATCAATTGCCTCGCGTATGTATACTCGCGCCATTCGCCCATCGATCATCGGTTACGCGTCAAATTTTCCCTGTCCGACTGTATCACAGCCGGAGGCAGCCGAGTGTTTAAATCCGCGCGTTTACCCGGAGACTGGACACCGCCGATGTGCAACACTTCGAGCCTGAGCCTCGGGCTCGCCGAGCGTGACTACTCCGCTCCGCTCGACATCGAGCGAAGCGGAGGCCTGCAGGAAGTCGACCCGAAAATCTCGCGCGCTCCTCTCCTCACTTCCTCGTACTCTCCTGTTTTCCCTCTTGCGGTCGACATCGCCGTCGTCAGTGAAGAAATCCCAAATGTCTCGCTAGATAAGATTACAAAGGATAAAAATGCAAAACGCTGTTCTTAAAAAAAAAAAAGAAAATAATAGAAGAAATATATAAAAGAATTCCAACACGTTATTAAATTACTGAGATTGCGAGGATTCTTGGATGACTTGTAGTAATCAAGATAATTCTAATGCATTAGCACTTTTACGATATTTTAATTTTGTTCGAAATATTTGCATAATGATTAAAGTTTAAATCAGTAATTTATTAGAGTTTTTTTATCGCGAAATTTTCGCCTTGTTTAACGTGCGCCTTAATATGCATCGCAGATCTTTACTTCATTTTAAGTGGGAACCGTCGTCGTTTGCAATACATTACGCGTGCGATTTACTATCGCGATTTCTCGCACGTGTCTCGCATTCTTTTCTTTCAAATTGTAATTAACGCTCTTATCGTTTGCGAATATCATTTCCCTATCTGTCTTTACAAAGCCGTCAGAATAAGAAAGTAAAAAAAGACTAAAGTAAAAAGACTATGATTAAGTGACAATCGTAATTCATCGGAATTAATTAGCTTATCACATCTCATTAGTGTTACTCGAAGAAAATCACTAATAATTAGAAGAAAAAACTTATTAACTCATAAAAAAAACTTATCACCTCAGAAATAAATGATTAAAGAATTGATTACACAATGCTTTATTACAATAAGACAAAAATATATTTAATAAGAAATAATTATAAATAAAATTCTATGTGCAACGAATTATAGCAAACACTGTTCTTTCGCGACATAAATTTGACTGCAGTAACTCTTACGTGACTTCGCGTTTTCGTATCATAATAAGAAAGAAATATATATTTAATAAAAAATAATGATAAATAAAATTCTATGTGCGACGAAGTTCTTGCAGCAAACACTGTTCTTTCGCGACGTAAATTTGACTATAGCGATTCTTACGTGACTTCGCGTTTTCGGCTCCGTTTCTCGAAGGAGGAATACCTGTCCTGAGGGACTAACTCGATGGACGATCTTGGCGATTGTGGAAAGGAGTCACTATACGGAAGGAAGATGGAAGGAAGGAAATGGCGAGTGCTCGGGTTAACGACCATCCGATAAGGCGCCAGGGAGTTCGACGGTCGATAGCGTTATGCATCGTGGCGAAGTGTACGCTCGTGCACCTGTGCGCGCATCCCTTTCGTATACGATAAAAAAAATCACATAAAAGACTAAGAATTCAATAGATAATCTGTAATGTCGATCGCAGCCTTAATATCGCCTCTTATAATTCTGCCTCGATTTATCAGTTAGGCAGGATCGATTTAAATATTCCAGATAAATCCTAATCTGTCAGATTTTTAATCGGAGTATGCAATTCGGAGAATGTAACAAATTATATGTAACTACAACACATTTGCGATCTGTATATGCAATTAACGTCAGAACTTACTGGTACTTCTATGTGCTTGTTAAAATTAACATGAAAATTCCATTTTTAGTGTTCTGGCAAAAAAATAAATTCTATATACAATATATTTTTTGTAATACTTCATAAATAGATTTTACAAAAAAAAGAAAGAACAATACACATACTAAATAAGAAGTTATGTAGTTAAATATGTAGGCAAATTTTATAGCATAGAATCGGAAATCCTGATATAATAATTAATTAAATGTTCCATAAATACAGCTATATATTTATCGCAAAATTTGTTGCTTTAAAATTCCGTGCTGTAAAGCAATTAAATACTGTATAATCGCTGTGATATCGTATATACGGCCTAATTATTAAAATATTAAAATTATTACATTATTTATTTGCTTATAGAATTATTTTAATTATTAAACATTTATTTTTAGAATTTCTTTTATTGCTTTTACATAATAATTGTTCCATTTTCAAATATGCCCCAGATAGCATGGAAAGTTTAAAAAGAATTCAATCGTATGTTATTAATTCTAAGTTCTCAGATGCAAAAAGAATTTTTTTTCTAAAAATTCTGAAGAAGAATTCTTTTTGCATCTAAAAATGAAGTCAGAATTGATGACATACGACTGAATATACGAATGAATTTTTTTTAAACTCTGTGCTAATTGGGGCATCTAATACATATATAAATATTCCTCTAAATTCTATCAAGTTCCATTTTTATGATTAAAACATTGAATAAATTATTGCTAGCATTCTAATTCATTATCTGAAGAAATCTTACTCATTTAATTTTTTATTTGCTTATAGAATTATTTTAATTATTAAACTTATTTACTTGTAAAATTCCTTTTATGCATAGCAACTGTTTCGTCTTCAAATATCACGCAACAAGAATACATATAAATATTTTTCTAAATTCTATCAAATAATTTTTATTTAATTCATTCGACGCAGGAAATCTTTTGTATTAGAATTATTATTGGAGTTCAAAAATTCGCGAAGAGTTCGAATCGCGCGTTTTGATTGGTTATGCCAATTTTTCGCCGACAAATAGGAGACTTCTTTTATCGACAGGCCCCTTGCGTTTAAATTTTCAGTGAGCGACCGGCGGCCGACCTGTGAGCATTTCGACTATCTTGATACCGATAATGTGAGCAATTTTCTAATTAAGTATTCGCTTCGTTCAGCTATGATAATCGCGACGCGCCGACACGCCATTCTCATATTACGCGTTGCATTAGTGTGTCGTTTGCGTTTCCTCAAAACCTGTAACTTTAGAATCCCCGAGAGAGTTTGCCGTACATACATATTACAACGTCGTAATGACCGTCGTTACGGTCGATTAATTTCTACAGCGAGAACGATCTTGGTCTATCATCAAATTGACAAGCGCAACCGCGATAGGAGCTCGAATACGATTCGCGAGAACCTCGTTATCTATCAAGCTCAGAGCTATCAGCTATCAGGTCATTAAATCCGAATCTCTATTTGATTGTCAATCGAAGGATTCATTATACCATTCATTCTGTATATGCGGTATTTGAATGTCGTGATTAGAAAGCGACGGGAGAAGCTCCCTCCTTTTAGTAGCCGTAACTAAAACGCGCGTTCGATAAAATCGATGCGTTGCGTCGGTAATGCCTTTACAGACACGCGCGGATATTCCAATGAATGCGGATAATTATTTAATTTTCATCGGCAAATTATTTCTAACAATATGTATATTGTGAGACTAAATCGACTGAAATGAACAATTGTTCAAATGTAAAGGAAAGTTCGTAATGTGTAGCCGCGCGCTAAAAATTAAATAGAGTATAACTGTTACTTCTGCAGTTTGGGTAAGTTAATATATTTTTTTAAACAAAATTAAGTTAAAGTTCGTAACATATAAAATTTATTTAGTTCCTATCTAAAAAAAGGTATATTAAGTCAATAACTCACATTTCTCGAAATTATTTGTTATCGTTTTTTCGTGATGCTGATTGATTATTTCACTATGCTTACTTCGTTGAGCGGCTGTCATTACATATTTTGACAGTTATTATGTATGTTGAGATTTGTTTTAGTAATATTGTAATAGCAATAAGTTAATAGTGTAATAGAAATGTATATATATTGTAAAATTAATTATTACTGCATTATTTCCTGTTTCGACGTTGATAACAATTTTTCTTTTCCTCTTGGATGACTTCAAGATTATTTCAGATAAGTTTTACTAAACACATTTTTATTATAAAACTTCTTCTTAATATATATTTTACTAAAAAAGATTGATATTATGTTGTATTTTTTCTTTTAGGTATCAGTTTTTGTTTAAATATTATAATACTGCTAACAATATCTTTTTAATTGTAATCAACAGATATGTCGAAACATGTTTTTTACAATAATTAAGAGAAAAAGGAATTAAAGGAATGAAATAGTGAACAATTATGTATGTAACATAAGAAGGTGAAGGGCCATGTACTTATGTAATATTTTATAAAAGACCAATGAATTTAATTAGACACAGCATCTGACAATTATGTATGTAACAAAAACTGATACCTGAAAGAAGAAAATAAGACGAGAAAGAAAGAAAGAAGAGTAAGCGTTTTGAAACGAAGACAATTAAATTCGTTGGTCTTTTATAAAATATTACATACATGTCGCTTCACCTTCGTGTGTTACATACGTAATTGTCAGATGCTGTGTCTAATTATTTACTGTAATAATTAGACACAGCATCTGACAATTATGTATGTAACACACAAAGGTGAAGCGACACGTATGTAATATTTTACAAAAGACTGAAGAGGGCTTGATGTAATATTTTATAAAAGACCAATGAATTTAATTAGACACAGCATCTGACAATTATGTATGTAACAAAAACTGATACCTCAAAGAAGAAAGTAAAACGAGAAAGAAAGAAAGAAAGAAGAGTAAGCGTTTTGAAATGAAGAGAATTAATTAATTCGTTGGTCTTTTATAAAATATTACATACATGTCGCTTCACCTTTGTGTGCTACATATGTAATTGTCAGATGCTGTGTCTAATTATTTGCTGTGATAATTAGATACAGCATCTGACAATTATGTATGTAACACTGAACATACGAAGATGAAGCGAAACGTATGTAATATTTTATAAAAGAACACTGAAAAGGGCTTGATGTAAAGCCGAAATAATGGTCTGGTAGCATTAATGTAATTGGCAAGTATTAAGTATTAAAGTGTCAAAGGTATTAAATCTTTGATGCAGTGTATTAAATACTACAAAAATTATTTTAAATTGACCAATAATATATTCAGGCTCCAAGAAAAATAAAATAGATAAAATTTAAAATAAATAATTGTAATGGGCCAGAAGCCAAGGTCTTCGTGCTAATCCGCGCGCGCGTTATATTCATACACTGAAAAAAGTAATCTTGCAATTATAGCGAGAATTATTTAGACACGAAAAATTAGCTAAAACGAATAAGTGATTAGTAAGCACTGCGATACCACATATGTTTTGTATTTAATCAATATAGATAACAGAGACAAAAATTATATCTGAACTATTTGTCAAATTTAGCAAGAAAGTTTCTCTATGACGTTTAATCAGTCCAGACTCCAATCATATTTGATTATCATGAGACCTATATTTTCTTGCATATATTCTTAGAATATTGCTGCTATAAATTCTACGTACGACAGAAAATTTTTTAGCAGATACAAAAAACAGCGATATAATTTAAGTGTAATATTTAGAATTCTAGCTGAAACAGCGAAACTATTTCCCTGAGTGTGTCTTGCTTTTTCTGAATACTCAGGAAAATGTTTCGCTGTTTCAGCTACAGTTTTAAATATTACACTTAAATTCAGGGCTGGGTAAAATGCTTTTCGAATTATATTTAAAATGCCAAATATAAAATACCTTAAAAAAGATATTTAAAATGCAAAATCTAAAATGAGTTTTTCGAATCCATTTTAAATGTAAATGGGTAAATAAGTATTTTAAATGCTTTTCAAATGTAAAATAGATTTCTTAGTGTATGCAATTTAATTTAATATAATCATACATTTTATTTGTTTTATTTAATAAAACATGGAATTATTTCATCCTTGTTATTCGCTAAAAGTTAAACAAGAATAAATGATGCTCGTTAAGTTCAACGTAGGGCGCGTTTAGCAGACTGATTAGTGAGCGCTCAATGATTCATCTTTGTTACGGTATTTGCAGCCACGTTCACCAGACAAAGCAGATCAGTGAGCGCTTAGTGATTCGCTAGATCTGAATGCATAAACCAATCGTAACAAAGAATCACTGAGCACTCACTGATCAGGACTGCTAAACGTGGCCATTGGTTCATTCACTCAGATCCAGCAAAAAGCTAAAGGCAAAAACCAATCATATTAAAGAATCACTAAACGCTAAACGCTCACTGATCTACTTTGTTTACTAAACGCGTCCATAGCGAAGAAATTGTGTTTTAACCAATTATGAAACTTGATTTCTTTTATGCATCAAAGACTATAATACGTTTACACGTCATTCTTAATTGGGTTTAATAACATATGTAGCTATGAAACTGGCCAATCACAGTCATTTTATTTTTCAGAGGAATAGCTATGATTAGTTAGATTAATTACTACAGATGTAATTAAACAAGATTAAGATTGCATTCACTTTGACGCTTACAGCGCTTATCATTTCATTCTTGCTGTTTTTTAAATGTTAAAGAAGGACAAATGATGCTCACAAGTGCTGTAAGCACTAAACGTAGCCTAAGAGTAACGTGTAAACGTATAAACGTAATCAATAATGCAAAGAGAAATTTGTGAACGCTTAGAAAAACCATTTACTCATTTTACAAACAGTTAAATGTATAGATATTTCTATTTCAAATGTAAAATAAAAATGGTTTTTCAAAAAACATTTAAAATAAAAAATTTAAAATGCCATTTTCATTTTAAATACATATTTGTAGATTTAAAATATAACTATTTCAAATATTATCCAGCCCTGCAGTTAAATTATATCGCTGTTTTTTGTATCTGCTAAAAAATTGTCTGTCATACGTAGAATTTATAGCAGCAATATTCTAAGAATATATACAAGAAAATATAGATCTCATAACTAAATATGATTGAAGTCTGGATTGGAGTCTGGATTGATTATAAACGTCATAGAGGAACTTTCCCATACAGCACACATATATTGAATCAATATTTCAGATACGTTGAATTATAACATTGCGAATGTTAAATCAACGTTTTAAAATATAGATTCAACGTTGAAGAGATATTGCAGAAACATCTAATGTCCGTTAAAATTGATGTTTTTAGAACATCTGTAAGACATTGCAATTCAACATTGGTCATTATTAATTTAATCCGCACAGAATAATAATATTTGTTAGATATCTATTCGATTTTTATGAAACCAAAATAAAAACCATTATAAAACGTTAAAAAAAATAATTTACGTATACAGTGTTTCCAAGGGATCAATTCCTTGTAAACTATAAAATATTCAGATCCAGCGATCACTCATCCAAGCCACGACCGGCACCAACGTTGCTTAACTTTTGTGATCGAGAATTGCAGACACTTCCTGATGACCATGATTACTTGATGTTAATATTATGAATATATATTTGTGATTGATCAGATTAATAAAATTATCAAAAAAACAAAAATATATCTTTTTGTAAATGTTAACATACAATAACATGATTGATAATCAAAATGACCAACATCGATTTCCTCGTAAAGATTTAAATATTGTTCGTAAATGAGCCTTGTTAGGAAATCAAGTTAAAATCGTGATAGTTTCTATTTACGTAAATTTGTTCATATTTAATAAAATTAACTAAATTACTTGTTTAAACTTCAAACATAGACCTAAAATTTTAGAATATAATTAAAAAATACATGATTTATTTAAATTTCATTTGTTTAAATATTTATTCTTTATTTAATAAAAATTAGATATATATATATATTATATTATTTTTTTTCAATGCAATGTTTTTTATTAATTGTTTCAAAAGATAATAATTTGTACTATATAATTTCAACGTTGCAGCAACATTAATAATCAATGTAGAAAATTCAACATAGATTCAACGTTGAAAAAACATTCCCATTACAACATATATTCAACATTGCAACGTCTCAGCATCGTTCTTTTAACGTTCTGTGCTGTATGAGTTTCTTGCTAAATTTGACAAATAGTTCAGATATAATTTCTGTCTCTGTTATCTATATTGATAAAATACAAAACATATATGGTATCGCAGTGCTTACTAATCACTTATTCGTTTTAGCTAATTTTTCGTACCTAAATAATTCTCGCTATAATTGCAAGATTATTTTTTTCAATGAAGGAATCCAAGCACGTTGAAGCCCGTCGAGTAGTCGCGCCGCAGCGACCTCTCGGAAAGGGGGCAGGAGCGGGCCAATTGTCGTCGTTGCTGTCGCGTCGCGGGGCGTCTGGTTCGCGTCTGGTGGCGCGCGGCGCGCGGGCCGTGCGCGTGAACCCCGTAGTCGGACGCCCGCGCCGTCGCGTCGGTCGCGTTCGGATCGCGGCTGCGTCGCGCGCCAAGTTCGTCGCGTTCTCCTCGGCGGACGCGCCGCGGTGAGTTCTTTCTAAACCCGCGCGCGGCCGCGACACGATTTCATCGGGAGAGAGCGATCGGCCACGCTCGATTGTTTCACGGGACTGTATATGGGTCGCGCGCGGACCGAATTTAAAGCCCCGTCGTTGTTCGAAGTTGTCGGGACCGCCATCTTCGCCGCCGTTCATTTCGCGCGTCTCGTCCCGTCTCGTCCCGCGAGCGTCGTCGTTTCGCCCGTCGGATTCACCGCATCGGAGCGCGACGGTGACGATTTAGCCTTTGTCTCGTGCAAGCGCGTCGCGACACCATTATTATGCGTTGATCTCATTTTCATCGCCACGGAATTCGGATCGCCCTGCGGCAACGATCGTCATTGCACTACCTGCACTTCCCGGCCACCAAGAGCGAATCTCACAGTAATGGGATCACGTGTACCGATCAAGAGTACCTCTCGTCGCCGATGCTCGAATGATCTGAACTCTAGCCCCCGACTGTGTTGATCGACAATGTCGCATTGCAGACAACGACAAGAATTTGATGGGACAAACGACAGCATCGCGACGAGAATGCAGCGATTGGTGAATGAGACTTATTTATATATTATAGAGATAAAGATGTGGATCTTTTTAATCAATTCAAAAAGAAACAACAGGATATTGAATAATTTATTCAATAATATATAAGACTCTTAGATTTAAACGAGTAGTAATTAGGATAGGCACTCAGAGTCAATAACGCGGTAATTAGTGCGTGGCTAATTAAATTTTTAAATACAATATTCTTTAATACTCTTATAATATTCTTTTAATATTCTTTTAATATTCTTTAATACTTAATATTCTTTAATCGATTGCTCTTAACATATGTTAACCGCGTTAATGACTCTGAGTGCCTATCCTAATTACTAATCGTTTGAATAGTTTATTTTAAGTAATTAATTTTTATGAATTTTTGTGAAATATCGATAATTTTATATATACATTATATTATATAGTTTTTTCCCGATTAATTGAGAAGCAACATTATCTTAACATAGTGTAAACAATCTAAAGTTGGAAGTTATATTTAAATAGATATATATTTTTTACAATTTTATAAATTGTAAAAAAACAATTTATTTTTTAAATTGATTATTAAAAATAAAATGTACTTACTTTTGTAAGTAAATTTTATTAAATTAAAATTAAAATAAATTTTGAACCTAACTATAAAATAGAAGAAATAAAATCAAGATTACGCTTTATTTTGTGTTAGATAAATAAAACTTTTTTTATAAAAATATGTATTTATAAATTAGTTTTTTCAATTCTATTATTTTTGTAATAAAATTAAATAAATAAATTAACGTCTTTTATAAAAAAAAATATGTACATATTTTTATAAAAGATATTTTTTTAAATGCATATTTTTTTATAAAACATGTGAATTTTTTAAAATCAATTTAAGGAGACAACAGAATATTGAATAATTTATTTTAAATAATGAATTTATATATATATATATATACATATATACATATTATGTATTAAAATTAATATGAAATTGAATACTGTCTCTCATACATATATTTTTCACTGAAAAAAAATCAAATCTCAAAAGTTGATTGAAAAATTATACGACTCATAAACGCAAATTGTGAAACGTTTTATATTTTTCTAATAAATACCTTCAATTTCAAGTGTAATTACTTCGTTTTAGACTCTGGTCAAATGTTTGTAACATTAGGATCCATTTTTCTTTTCCATTCTATAAAGTATAATTTACAGAATCGATCGCGTTTGCGACATTTATGGTCCCATAATTTTCGATTTATCGTTAAATTGCCTTTTTGAGCGATATCATATTACCCGGATTCGAGAAACAGATTGCATTTCAATAATTTTGTTCATTAAATCCAATGACGTTTCCCGCTATTGTTATGATATAACATTAACGTATCATACATATTAACATATGTGTCTGTAATTGAATAGCACGTATTACCTGTCGTAAAATATTGATGCTGCGCAAATATTATATTTCGCATTTGCCGATTTAACGATTGTATCAGTTTCATTGTAAGCTCATCAGAATGAAATTATCATTTATATTTTATAGTCTGTCTCTCCATCTATTGGACAATTTATTGTTTAATTATTTCATTTGTCTCCGTATTACCGGTATCTTAATAATATTTGCACTTTTAATTAAAGGAAATTACTTTCGATAAAATACATATAACAATAACTAGAATTGTATCGCTGATCAATATCAGACGTGTACTTTCCTTATTAATTGTTTATTCATCAGCCAGCTATTTGATACGTATAATGTGATTAACTATAAAGGTAGATCCTAGAATTTCTAGTCGTCAATTTTTCGTGTGCCGCTAAAATTCCGTGTGTCGCGTTAATTGGCAAAAAGGCGTTTGACCCTTGGCAGGAGTTCACCACCCTTCGGAACAATCAGTGGCTTCCGGCGTGTCGCGCCTGTCTGCCTGTGAATCATTTTGATACTTCTGTATCAATGTTTTTATCCGTCTGCTTTATTTAATACACTCATCAGGCAATGTTCTTTTTTCCCACTGCACTATTCGTCATTGTTCGCGATGATAGTTATTGCTCGCCTGACCTATTCGTTATCTCCTCCTCTCTTTCTTTTATCATCGAATGGCATTTTAATATTCGTTTAACGATTTGGCAATTTCACACGTTCTCATGGGATTATAACTATAATAGAGGAACTTATATATAAATCAAAAGTGCAATGTAATTGTATGCTTGCTTTACAAAGTTAAAAATTTCAAAAACATTAAATAATTCTTTTCTTTATGAGGAAAAATTATTAATGTATTGATTAAATAAATTTATTTGATATAGTAATAAAATTAATTTTAATAAAAAAATAAAACAATTAAGACTATAATAATTTAAACAATTTATATATATATTTTTAAATTATGAGTAATATTTTGTTTTAATGCCTCTCTACAAAATTAATTGTTAAGTAAATGATATTTTTTTAGAAAAAATTTTTTTTAAGGTGGATTTAAATTTAAGAAGGAGTATAAAATAAAATTAGGTTAATTTAAAATTAATTTAAGTAAAAGCAGCATTGCAGAATTAATCATGTGAAGAGCGCTTTTGAACCGCTTTATATTCTACTGAAAAAGATAGATAAAAGGGTTAAATTTAGGTTTTGCTATTCGCGAGAGTCAGTGTCGCGCCGATTGCCGTGGCACCGCACCGGTGGGGGCCTCCTCTTCCGGCGCAGCACCCACACGTCTTCGGCAGGATGAATCCGTCGCAGGGCTTATCTTGCAGCGCGCATACTTTTATCTCGCGGGAAGCGGCTGGTCGTTGGCCCACACGATGCTCGTTGCTCTAGCCGGCCATTCATCGCGCGCCGTTATACGTTGTTGATGACGGGGGCTTTAAAGGCGCCCGCTGATGATACTGCGAGCGTTTCGAGTTCGACGCGCTTTACATACATATATTAATTGGCCGATATCACCGGGCCGGTTATCAAACCGCTGCGACGACGCAACTTCACGTAATTCTCCTTCCGAATGGAGTTCATTCCGGTTCGTTCGGCCTTATCCAGGCCTAATTTGAAGTCTCGTAAATTTTACGTAAGTCCCATCCTTAGAGAGATAATTCAGCCTCATTCAGGAGATAAATTTAAAATATCAACGCTATGGTTGAATACAAATATGTCATATGACTCTTTGATTAATTAATTAGTTTTGTCACGATAGATTTTGCCATCAAATTTACCTGTAATTTAACTAATTTGTTAATTACGTGACTTGCATTGATACGTTTGTTAGACATATATGAATGATGCAAAAATGTGTATCGAAAGCTCTTTTAAAAATTAATAAACATCTATTGGAATAACATTTATAATAGTAAGGAATATAATGAAATATAATAATAAATTAATATCTAACAAAATCAGCTTATGATTGATTTTATTACAATACAGTATTATTATCACCTGTGTCATTTTCGAGTTATCTAATTAAGCGGATTTTAAAATCAATAACAGAGAATTAACATATTCCTAAAATATATAAACGCATGTAATGAATTATATATTTATATATTTATATATTTATATATTCATACATTTATAACACGCTAATAGGCATTAATAGGCATGAAAAAAACCAAGATGCCAGATTTTATCTTTTTAAATTATTGCATGAAAGATAGGTTTTTCCGATAAAAAGAAAATTAAGATCTAACCTCAAGAAATAATTTTTTAATATTTCAAATATAATTACTCTGTGTAGAAGATATTTAATCAATATATTTTCTGCGACATATACAAGTCACCATCGACCATGTTCTAATTAACATGGGAAGTAGAATTAATTTCGCCTTGTTGCTGTATCGATCGTGAATGGGAAGGGGGCAGGGGACAGGGAAAAGGACGAGGTGTCCTGCGAGTGTCGTTAAGGAGGAAGGGTCAGGTGCGTTCGGCAGCCGTCCGTTATCGAACTCGCGTACGTACTCTCTCTCCCACACGTGTGTACACTCATATACATGCATACGTGGAATACAATTACGGAAAATGTCACGTATTGTATTAAGCTTACCCCCGTTTTTCGAACGCACGCGCTGCGTGCTCTCGCATTTCCATTTATTTACATCGGAATTACTTTTTTCCCGCGGGCAAATTTTTCCCCGGCTTCCTCGACAATATATTTTCCATGCTTTAATGTGTTTGTCACATTACTCGTACCGCGACACAAACGCATTTATTTCTCTTCTGTTTTTACCGAAATAAAAATGTAGAATATTACCATATATAGCATTAGAAATAAAAAACTAATCATTCAAGAACTTGAAATTGGATAAAGTAATGAAAAAGTGCAAAAGTATGAACGATAATATAGAAATTAAAGAAAAAGTATAAGGTATAAAGAATAAAGGTATAAGAAAAGAGACAGAAAGACTAAGACGAGAATAAAAAAGAAATGTACAGGGTCCGCCACCAAAATCCGGACAAATTAAAATTTCAAGTTTCCGTCTCATTTGACTTCATCGTTAGGTCGTTGTTGACGTTTGGGCAAGTTAGATGTTTACAATAAGCGTACATAACTTCAAAATGTCGGAGCAAATAAGATTGAGTGCGGAAAGTATAATCGAGGAGTGGCAATAATCGAATAATCCTTCACGCTGGAAGTCCGTAGACCGAAATTATTCGATTCTTCGAGTACCTGAGATCGATCGTGTACGATGTTGCGACTAAACATTTGGTTTCAGAGACGTTTGAAAAAGGATTCAAGGATGTCCCCGCAATAGCTAGGACGAAGGCCTCCTCTGTTCACGTCCTAGACGTCTTCAGTGAGAAGTTACGTCATGCCGCAAATTTCTTTCAAAAACTTGAAACGTCATCCTAATTATTATGGAGATGTCTTCAGGGTTGGGAAAGTTATTTTGTAAAAGTAACTAGTTACAGTTACAGTTTTTATCTCTAAAATAGTAACTAGTTACCGTTACAAATTACCGACTCTGAAAAGTAACATGTTACAGTTACAGTTACTCAAAAAGTAACGAATCGTTATTTTTCAGTTGCTTTTAATAGAACA